TTGAAATCCCACATGTTTTTCTATCTTATATTCCCCTGAAGACAAATATATATTCCAACATAAAATCCGATCCGAACTCCACTCTAGCTGAAGTATATATCCCGAAGTATATAAAAGCAAACCAGGTATCCCAGCCACCCAACACGAAATATTCCACCGTGAATCTTAAAATGTTTCCTTGTGAATCGATTGTCTATGCGCCTTCAAATTCTCCCGTCGACTCGAAGCATGCTTACACCAGGGCCAGGGACACTTGAAAGCCCCAGGATTGATATGCTGAGTCTCTATGTGCCGCTTGAGCACTCCTTTGCGCGAGAACAGACGATCATATTTACAGCCCTTCCATTCGCATCTGAAAGTTCCGTAATTATCGTTCTTCCTAGACGAAGTGTGTTCAGCATATGCGTATGATTACGATAGCTTTAGGAGAAGAAGATACACACTTTCTTTTGGCTGCAGGGCGACGAGAAAGACACGGCATTTTCGCCTGGCTAGGCTCCGTCCTCGGTTCATCCAGCTGAAGTGTCTCTTGTATTCTGGGGGTTGAGACTGGTAGATCATCCCAAGGACTGGGACATCTAGCATCGTAGAGGCTTGCTGGGGAGAGTATGGTGGCGGTCGCCTTGGTTGGAACGGACCTTGGGCTGTGGTTGCTGGTGGACCGCTTGACGGTGCTTGGCTCTAGATACGACGAAGAAAGAGCAGGAGACAACATTGTCCCAAGGGCAACCGGCGTAGAGGGCAACTGGCTGGAGGGAAGCTGCAGCTGATAATTGTATAAAGGAGGTTGAGCTGTGGGCGTCCTCGCGGTGGTCGATGGATCCGGCGACGGGGACATGAAAAGAGTGTCGGGCTGTTTGAGATACTCGGTTCTCCAATCCCCCAGCTCGATATCAGACCATGGAAATGTGGACTCCGGGATAGTCGAGTCGTGTGTTGACCACGCCATCATGTATGTGTAATGTCTGTAATGACCGACCTGGATGTAGAGAGTGGGCGTTCAGAAGGTAGAGGGCTAGTCGTAGGAACGATAAGGGAGTGACCAGAAGAGTCTGTCTTTGAGCCGACGAATGGTCGAGTATTTATGAAGATGGGTCGTCAATGGGCACACGGCTGGTCAACTTCACCAAATGCCGCACTTGGGGAGACACACCACTAATACGAAGATGGACAAGAGAAAAATAGAAAAAGGAAAACGGGCGGAATCCAACCTTGGGAGAGTGACGCATATATTTGGAATGATCCCAGATTTGTTCTGGAAAACTCGTCTTACGTTCTAGAAAGTAGGGCTTTTGCTCTCTGCATCAAGCTCGTGCTCAACATTACTAAATGGATCATGACTCGTGGCCCTTTTAGAGGACTGAGCGTAAGATCCTGGTCTCCTAGGCCTTGGCTGCAGGGAACTCATTATTTGCGTCATTGATTCCTCCATCTTCTGTCTCGGAGAGGTGAGAAATTTCCAACGCGATAGAAGGATCATTACCATTTGAATGTATGATACTGCTGCAGGCTGTGAGCCAACCGTATCAGTACAGCATTACACTAAAAGCAATTGAAAACGAGGGGCAATAGTGATCGACATGTAGAATAGATCTTAACTGGTTGGCTTGTTACTAGTTCGTATGTGGTATATGGTGCATTATCCTAAAGGATTATAAAATTGGCAAGCGGCTGAAGTATTCATGCACCACGGAGTACATATTCCCAATTCCGTGGACTTGGGATGGGAGCCCGGGTGCAGGAACCGCTTCCCGTCCAATATGATGAACTTGTTCTGCTTGGCTGCCACGTCACGCCTAGAGGATACAGATCATTATCCATGCGACTTGCAGGCGCGAATATACACGAGAGATCGGCACATTTCCATTAGTGATTTTTCCTTTCTTTCCTCATTTTTAATGTCTGTCTCGCTTTTTGATCATGCAGCTAGACCCTGATAGCGGTAATGGAAGATGAATCTAAAAAACACCCTCACTATGTGAACTATCTGCATGCTCGAGTATGGATATGACAGGGAGGAAGGAGGGTTACATTGCATCAAATGGGTCTAGCGCTTGGGGGCCGTTAAAAACATTACAATGTTAGAATACTATTACTATGTGACTATTCTAGGGACCCTAATTAGTATAGGCATAGCACAACAAGACATTAAAGATCCGATGTGATGCCGGAGACTTTCCACTGTCAAGTTAGGGTTCCAGGAACGAACGTCGCAGGACGCTGTTGATTTACAGACCCGACGATCTGGAATTTAATTCACGCGGGGATATCTAAATTATATATAAATTAGCCTCGACTATTACATTGTGCACAAGCGCCAAGTGTGATTTGCATGTAACGGAAACTACATTGGTGGCTGCGTGTATGCACCAGCATGGGGCGCAGTTTAGCTGCATGAGCTGAAATTATTACCACCATAATAATGATTTATTATTATCCTATTTCCCGCCCAATGTCAATCAAGCAAATACATTCTGGGTATCATTGAATATCGATACTAAACGCCGATCTACCATAATCCAAACAACACAGGTTCTCCCAGTCACCCCAAGCCTACTGCATACCCAAGTTTCCATCAGACTCGCTGACAATGAACTCTCCCCAAGTGCTCGGTCATATTGTCCCGCCGACAGAAGAGCTTTCCACACACAGGACAGTCGAATGAGTGCGGTGCGACATGCTGCGTTTCTATATGGCGCATGAGAACTCCCTTGCGAGAGAACATACCGCGGTATTTACAGTCTTTCCAGTTGCATATGTACGTGCCGTAGAGTTCGCTAGAATGCCAGGGATGATGTTAGCGTGGTGGTGATATACTAGCTTGGCACTAGAAGGATGGCTTACTCGTGTTTCGGTCTATGTGCTCGACCACCGCCACAGATGGTCTGGACTTCAGGTCCACTGACACTTGATTGGGGTATCTCATACATAGACGGAGTTGATGACCCCGATCCCGATGGTGTAGAGCACATACTACTATGTCCAGAGCTGAGATACCCCATAGTGGAGGGCTCACTGGGTCTATTGTTCTCGATCGAGGGATGGTGTACCGTATTGTGATTGGCAGAATTGAAGTTGGCATGAGCCGAAGCAAAAGGAATGGAGTAGCTGGGGTGAACTGATGCAGAGGAGTGTTGCATGAGCGTATTGTACAGAAGGTGGTTCTCGGAGAACATCGATGGCTCTGCGGCCACGGAGGGCGGGTACTGATGAGCAGCAGAACCATAGGGATGGTAAAGATCCCTAGCACTCTGGTCTTGGCCAGGCGTACCGGAAGCGTTCGAAGCGGCGTGGTATGAAGACCATGCCATCGTGATATGGAAACAGTGACTGGGAAATGGGACAAGCAAACGGATACTACAGAAACAAAGTAATGAATAGGGTCCAGCTGATGGTTTGTGTTTCCTGGAAGGGATTAAGGGGATCTATATACTCAAAATCCGGCGTTGACATTATGTGCGGTGAGAGTTCAATGAGTGGGATTGTGGCTCTGTCGCACCTCATTGCAAGCCACAATGTTCGGCGGGTGAATTGATGGCATTGGCCCACTGGCCAACTACGGATTATTGAAACTGGGCAGTGTTAATCGAGGTTTGTCTTCTAGTTATAATAGGTTGGATTTAAGCTGGATGATGTAATAGAGGTGACATAGGCTGTCCTTGGGGATAGAGGGGAACCGGAGTAGGTGGATAATGAGCCCGTTCTTGGGTGGGCTGAAGGTTACCTAGGTGGATCACTGGAATGTTCTCGGAGGATGCCGAGGGGATCGAAGGGAACACAGCCTAAACCTACATAGGAAGACATTGACCCCCGGCGACTCACATGAGTAGCACGTAAGCCGAGGTCCAAACCTTAGAAGGTGGCCGTGCAGCATTATTTGTCCAAATCCCGATATTTCCATGCACTAGTGTGTTTCAAGCTATTTTTCATTCCATATTGATCGTCCACGCCAGAGCTGTTTTCGACAAACCCATTCATTATCCACCAACCGAGGGGTTCCAATGCATTGTCGATCACCTACACCCCCGGGCGACGACTGAATTAACCCGGTGGATTTGCCCAACTCTCCTGTGACGTGTCCGTCTGGCGGAGACAAGAAAATACACCGACTTTCTTATGAGCTAGCAGTTTCAAATTCTTTTGTCCCTGTCACCTTATTCTTTTTGTCAATCACCTGACCTTGCGAACCCTAGTCTTTGTCTCCAGTGTCTGGACCGCTCTGCATCAGATTCAGATTCTTATTTTATACTACTCATAGTAAAGCAATGAGTGATCTGCATGATAACTGCAGACCCAAGCCTCTTGTAATGCCAACGTAAAAGCACAGGTAGAACTGCTAGGAAAGACTTCCGAAAAGGGCCACGGCAAAGTGCATAGTGAAAAGCGAGTTGACATTTAGAGTCTACACTTTGTAACTGGAGAATGAAGCTATGTGATTTTAACAAGAACTATAGCGAAAAAAAAAACCTGCAAAGAGAAAGAATCAGTTCACGCTATCGCACGCGCATGGCGCCGGCTGCAATCGAAGCACTCAGAGTAATGAAGGAAGTGGTTGTCCTAGACCGTGGTCATGGAGGGAACGTGCTGTGGCTTCGAAAATGATAAAGTGCATCTTCCCTCGAATTTCTTCTGCCAACCGATTGATCGGTCTGGCGAGGCTATGGTTGTACGTAGATGTAGTTGTTCCTATCGCTGAGGCTCGTGCATTAAGAGAGGCGAGTCTTCGTTCGCAGTATCTGACAACAATATCAAAAAGCAGGCGCTGTTTCTTTCCACGCCGAGCAGCTCTGCGCTCCGCGAACGTGAGAATTTTGTATTGTTCACCACGTGAGGCCTCCCGGTCTTGTGAATCGGTAGCAGATTCAGATTTTTCATCCGCATGACATATGGTTCCCACTTCCTTGGGATGTTGAATTGCGAAGTGCCATTTTGAACGCATGCCACCTTCCACTTCGGTTCGGGAACCGACCACGAACTTCCCTATGGTGCTTGTTGAGAGCCTTCTGGGTGCTGATACAGTCGCCGCAATCAAAGAACAGAAGGACTCTTTAGCCTCAGCGCCCTTTTGCTAATAATGCACTTCTCGTTACCCCGCTCGTAACCCTATTATCACCGTTAGTGATGGTTTCCTCTTAAATGCCATTGTCGGTCAAAAGAACGGACCCTATTCTTTAGTGCCGTTTGGCGTTCTGACGGGGTGGGTAGAAAGGCGGATTTCGGGCAAAAAAGGAGTAGGCATGGATCGAGAATCAACAGCGTGTTCGGGCGAAGGTCGGTCGTACGAAGTTGTGCTCCGCTTAATCTTTTTCGATGGGCGCGGACTCTCAGCATCAGAACGCGAGGTGAGCATAGGATCTGCCCCAAGATGAAGTACACAGGCTTCAAACAGCGCAGGATCAGCCAACATGGCCTTGTTCCAGTGAGCCATGGGGACATGGAGGTCCTGGTTGCGGTCCACACGGGGCCTTTATCCCGCGAATGGGATTCTCCTAGGCCTACCGCTGTAGGCTTATCCCATCCACAGTAGGCTGGGATCCAGCTAGTATCGGCCATAGCGAACTTAGAAGACAACGGATAAGTAGTGGAAACGACTGGTAAAAACCAAGTTGGAATGGGAGTGCGATCTTTGGTGGGAGAATAGAAAGAAGGCGAGGTCTTCCAAGTCTTCGAACTTGCCCCGTCACCGGCGGCACCACGATGACCCGATCCTTCGCAAGTAGGTATTCCTCAAATCCCCCAGACATACAGGCGAGTTGAGTGTATACCAGGGCAGAGTCGTCGCTTGCCTTAGTCCGCTGCATCTGCTTACGGAGCTCTCGGCCTTTCAAAATTGTAAGTCCAAAGCAGGATGTTAGACTCGGTAAAATTGCATACTTTTAGTGACAATGGAAGCTGAATAGCAGGGCCCGGGACTTATGTAGATTATCGGCTCCAACCTGAAGCCTTTGCGTAAGTTTGAGGATCAAGGATTGGATTGTGGGGTCACGGGCGTCTCCGGAAATGACCAGATAACGCTAACCTAAATTTTATTTTAGGTCTGGAAGGTCATCCGTCCCATCATCTAGCCAAGAAATATTCCAAGAAGGGATTCGGTGGAGTGATCTCGTTTGGTATCAAGGGCGGTGCCGCGGCCGGAACCAAAGTCCTGGATAGCTTTCGGTTGATCAGCCATGTTGGCAAGTGAGTTGTTTCAGAAGATTGCCACTAACGGCCGAGAATAACAATATCATAGTGTTGGAGATGCAAAGTCAGTACTAATAAATTTTAATTTTAGCTTCACTACGTGAAGCTCTCGTTTGTCTCCGTTTCATTTTTTGCTGACAAGCATGGACAGGACGCTTGCCTTACACCCATGGTCAACAACGCATGAGCAATTGAAACCAGAAGAAAGAATCGCAAGTGGTGTCACGGAGGTATGTATCTGGCAATTTCTTGTTGTGTCATAGGCTAATGCCTATCAGGACCTTATTCGACGCTCCGTTGGCTTGGAACATATTACCGATATTATCGCCGATTTTTGAGCAAGCTTTTGTAGCGGCAGAGTGTCAAGATTGTAAATCAACAGCGTTTATTTAATCAATCTTCCTCACTACATTTCTCGTTATCGCTTTGCGACCTGCATATGGAGACTGTTTATTCAGACTAAGAATATAAATAGCAAAATTAAATTGAGCGCATTGAAATTTGAGATCTGTTTAGTTCTATTTCCCATTAAAAAGCTCTTTATTCAAACTTTCTTCCGGTTTGTTAGGTATAATTTTGAGCTATGTTGACTACTTAAGGCACCGAGGACCTTTTGAAAATCAAATGACACATCTAGTCTAAATACCCTTCTACCGATTTTCAGTACTCAACACATTCTTCTCAGCTTGCTCGGCTGTCCGAGTCTGCTGCACCATTTCACTCGACTCGCTATTCAGCATTTTCATTTTCTCCTCTGTCTTGTTGTACTTTCTGAAGACGAGGAGGAACACAATGGCCGTTACTAGCATAGCACCGCTCAACGAGGCGTATTCCACAAGAACCTTTGGGTCCTTAGAGACTGGAGAGAGTGCAATGCCAAGTAGTGATCCGACACTACAGGTGACGAGGAACAGAGATGATGCGATGCTACGCATAGACTTGGGAGATTTGGTGTATGCGTATTCCATGCCGGCCACGTAGGCAAAGACTTCGGAGAGGGCGGTCATGGCGTGGAAGGGGACTTGCAGAAAGATGCTAACCTGTGCCTATGTTAGAGTCTCTGTCGAGTAGCAGGAGTACTTGAAGGGAAAACCCTTTACATTATTTGGCGTCCTTCCACCGTCGCTGCAAGATCCGCTCAGAGGATGGTCGTAGCATGGAGGCGATCGGTAAATCACTGCGACATGGATCAGTAGGCTATAGAAGAGTATATTAAACAGTATGCTACTAACAGTCTTGGATCACCGCAGCATATCCAATGGCACATGCCATAGCCAGGTAGCCGGCAGCGATTCGACTGATCGGCGATGAGAGGAGCAACATTGCTTTTGATACCTCCAAAGCTATAAAAGAGAGTCAGCGTGAGAGGATACAAAGTCTCAATTAATTAAGAATCACTGACCCTAAACCAATCAATATCAATGCAACGATGAGACCCGGTAAACCGGCGCCGTGCTTGATACTGGTAGGGAAGGAGGTGACGAAAAGAATCAGAACCCCACACTCGCGACTCTGTTACGGTTGTTAGGAAACTCTTCTCCTGTATATTTCTTGCTAATGGGGCGCAACTACCCGGTGCCTAGACAGATGGTCCGAAATCGGCCAAGAAAGCCATCCCCTATGATGGCTCCTATGATAGGTGCCATGTAGCACCAGCAGGTGAAGAAGTAGTTGATGCTAGTGGCTGTTGCTTGTCCCTATTGAGCGTCATTCAGCACCGAATTCAATGTCTTTCCGAAGCTGCCGTTCTACAGCTATGAGTCAATAGTTACCTTGCCCAAAGCTCCTCGCCGGAGTGGATCATTATAAGCATTTTCGATATAGTTCTCTATGAAGGGTTAATCGTTGCCTTCATTAGAGTCTCACAAAAGAGAGAGCTTACGCATAGGAGCCGTGATGCACCGGTAGGTGAAACGCTCGGCCAGCTCAGCCACAGCTACTAGGAATATTGTCCAGGGGATCTTGTCGCAAACACGTCTAAGGCTTTTCTCTTCCCATTCTGTTGGCGTGGAAGGATAATCCTCATCAGGTCTGTTCTCTGAGTCGGCCATTGTCTGCGTAGGGCGCCCCTGTTGTCTGATGTTCAGATGTACAATAAAGTGCTCAAAGGAGCACAGACGGGTGGGCGAAACACCGAAAAGAACAGCGGCGGGAGATTTCCGTAGAACGAATGCAGCTTGGTCGGGGTTAAAGTCGTAAAGTCAAATTGGCTTTTCCAGTTGCAGGGAATAGGGAATGGATTAGGGGGAAGGGGAAGAACGGAGACACCGCTCTTTGTTTCTTGGGCTTAGTGGATGCCATGCGCGCTAAAATGCTTGTCGCGCATCTTATCGCTCTTTATCACAGCTGAGGCGTCCATTCGAAGTTAACGTATTTCACATTCGAGCGGTGCAGTCCGAAACACATAGTAAATGCGATATATTCTTCACTTGTATCTTAAGAACCACGTTGTTATTTGGCTTCATTCTCATTCAATACCTATAGATAAGACTTTCTAACACAATATATCAATCTTAAAGAAAATCGAAAAGCTGCAATATCATGGTATTAAAAATTACGTTGCTAAAAAGATATATACTACAACCACGAAATCATAAATACTTTCCGAACTCCCTATGGAGGCTAGATATGACCTAAAAGGCATTACCCTTTATGGAAAAGTCCCTATGGGCCACTGTTGTTGAGATATCACATTGTAATTTATCGCATTTACTATATGTTTCGGACTGCGCCGCTCGTATGTGAAATACGTTACATAGATTCAGCGACCCACCGATCCCGCTCCACATCCCGTGGACGATCGAATTTTCAGTCTTGTTTTATTGGAGGGGAGTTGACTTCCTGACAGATGAACTTGAAGCTGCGTAAAATCATTGGTTCTACGAACTAGGATATTGAATGTTTGTCTTTAGTTTTGACTTCACTATATCTTTGTCTCCGGGACTTCTCGCATTGCACGCATAAAAAGCGTGAAGAAATGACTCTTATATGACATTGGTAGGGATGCTAGATGTGTCGGCAAGGCCAATGAAGCCATAATGGCCGGTCAAGACGGAGTCTTCATTCTGGACTGAATGGGACGCTCTCAATACGGTGAACTTTCGGTTGTGCCAGTCCAGGCTCCTCCATTCCTTCCCGCCGCTTGCAGTAAAAACCGTGTCATATCCAGGGCGCATAAGATAGACTAAGGAGAACTTAGTCTGGTCCCACGCGTCCGGTGGGGGCACAACGCGATGCAGACAAGAATTCAAAGCGCCTTTCGAAAGGGCAGCCAATGAGTCTCCCACATTTATGATCGCGTGCCCAGGTTTGGGAGCAATATACCGCCAGTCCTCGAGGCCTGGCATGAATACTTGCAGCCCTCCCTTTTCCGAGAAAACGATGGCGAGGCTTCCAAGGTCGGTATGTGCGATATGCCAGTATTCACGTCACTGCTACCATAAGGGAGATACTTGAGTAGATCAAGACTAGTCGTTGACAGTTGGGACCTGCGATGGCAGTCCTTCAGGTCGATAGGGAGTTGCAATTTCTGGGACAATGTGGAGAGGATTAAACAACCGTGCCCGTGAACAGCCCTAACAAACCTTTTCAAAAGATCCCTGTTGGACATTAAAGGCTCGGGAGCTGTCAAGGGCATGTTGGGGTCAAGGTCAAAGAGCGCATTATTGGGGACCTAGGGAGTGCCATCAGCAGCTGTACCCTAGCTTACTTCAATGGAGATCATACCATAGCTTTCGAATCCATCTTTTTTCCCGCCATGTGGACCTGTGGTCAAACCCGTTGGTTCATATCTAGAATCGAGTGAGTCTTTGCGAAGCGGTAGTCAAAATCTGCAATTGGGCGTTTTACTAGACATGCCCTAAGATTTTGGAGATTGTGAACTTCTCAGTGCTATACTCTTGTTTCGACTCAAGGGGCAACTGGAACAGGTTATTGGCGACAGAAAACACCCTGTCTGCGTCCTCCAGAATGTTATTTGTCCGGACATCACGAAGATCCAGATAGAAGAAGCCAATGTTGCGACAGGCGTAAGTTAGCTCGCTCACTGTCCCAGCGTCGCCATCGATGAGCTTGGCAAGTGACACGGTTGGCAGCGAGCCATACTCAATAGAGCGTTTGTCGCTCATCGTCGTGAAAAAGAGTGTTCGGCAGACGTTTTCAACTGATCTGGAAGTTCTGCGCACGGAGAATTAGAAATCCTTTGAAGAGTCTTGTGGATTGTCCCGGTACGGCTGTTTGCCGCTTTAGCCAAGTTTTGTGTCATACCAATTTGAGAAATATTTCCTCCGATGCCAATTAACTTGGTGTCATTTTCGGCCGAAAGAAACCGACTCGGATACTATTAGTGACCCCAAGTTGTGTTGCATTGGTCCTGCATGCCTTTCTTGGCCAATACGGCCAGCACTAGCGCAGCTTTCTGGGCTTGCTCGGTGGCTGGGTCGTAGATCTTCTTCACGTTCGTACAGTCGATCGGGGGGGGGGGGGGGGGGGAGAGCGGC